CCCGGGGGAGACTTCAACGTAACGTCAAGTTAGATATGTCACGTCACGTTATAGAAGCATCTCATCCTACTGACCAATTTGAATACGTTATTCTACATAATGCTGCCCTTTCCTCCATTCTTTTCTCAAGAAAAGCCTGGGTATCCTCTCGCACCAACTTATCACCATTTTTACTGATATTTCAAAATACTACCCATCTTTCCATATGAAGTTCCAATTTCATTAGCAATGTCAAGAACAGTGCGGCAGCCGACAATGTCCATTGACGCTCTTGATTTGTCTAGGGGAGTATGTACTTAAAAAAGAGCCTCCAAAAAGCGATCACATCTTTAATCAACATCAATGGAAGATCTATGTTTTCCTAAATTTCCTATGCCACTGGAAAACCAGTAATTCAATGCATTTTTTCCAAGCCTATGTCAATAACATACACGTTTAAGAAAGAGTGATCCCGGGATTTTCGCTAAAAATGTGACTTGACCGAAATTTGACGTTGTCTAACAACTTAAAGATGAACAATAAATCATCAACTTATAAACCAAAAATCCAGTAAAATCAGTAAATCTCTCATACAAAGATTTATAAAAGATCAAGCAATCGTAATAATGACATAATTTTCGTTTTATATACCACATAGGGCGGTTTAATTCTCATTTCATGAATTAAGAAATTATAGTAATACTAAACGCGTTAATGTCTCCCCCGCATTTCCAAACAACTGTTTCTATGGCAACTGCCATAGTGTTGCTATCAAAGATATTAAAAATGTTTTTTAATTTTAAATATTCTTCAAGTGTCTATATTTTTATTAGTAATTTTCAACCAATTCCACTTAAAAATGAATAAAATATGAAGAAATTCCACGAACTTTTGGATCAACCCTCGTAAGTACTTTCTCTTGGTTAGAGTTGACTTAAAACTTTTTATTTCATATTGGTTTTATAGTAATTTGTAAAAATAGTCGATGTATCTGATATACAAAAGTAGGGAAAGTAATTTAATTACCAATAAAGAAAGGACACCACAGAGTCTATAACATCTAATTCATATTTGGATGCTCTACTGATTAAAGAAAAAGGTCAATAATCAACTACATTGTATATTAAACGAGAAGACTGAAGGTTCTCCTTCGTCAACTTTCTTTATTTATGTAGTTATATATTAAGCTATCACATGCAAGTTGTGTTTATGTTTCATATTATATTTGTTTTTCAAGAGTATACTCTGCGGACATTCATTTTTTAACCCTAGGCAATCTACTTACAACTTTAGTTGAACGTATTTCAACAACCCCCCTTAGCATTTAGTAAATACATGGTCGTTATAATGACCATATTAGCAAATGTTTCTGTACTTGTATATCCTTACATCTCATGGTTTAGGAAAGAGCCCTGAAAAATTTAGGGTCCAATGGTTAATAGAATAAAATAACCGAAGGTAGCATTGACATACAGTAAAACTCGTTTAGTACGAACACGGATATAGCGAATTCACGAATATAGCGACTTTTTGTGGGTCCTCGGCAAATTTATTTTAAAATCTTTCTAAAATTTTACGGTTATAACAAACTCTGATAAAACGAATTTACGGATATAACGAACTGATTTTGAGTTCCTTTGAAGTTAGTTGAAAGGATATTTACATCTTTTATAACAAATTCTCAGAGATTATTAAAAAAAATAATAATCTTATCTACTCTTAATTCCTTTAAGCATATGAATATAAAATTCAATTCATTAAACCTTAGTTATTGAAGTTATGTTTAGTAATATTTGCTTTCCCAACATATTTAGTAGTAATTATTGAAGGAAAACATGCATATTGCGAATTCGCTATAATGGTTATACGAATTCGTTATACGGATAAAACGAATTACGGATATAGTTGATTAAATTCAAGGTCCCAAGGACTTTGATATAACCGAGTTTTACTGTAATAACTTGATTTTTAAAGCCCTTGCATTTAAACTTAATACGATGAAACTCTTTAAATTAAGAGAGTCTCTTGTAGATTATTACTTTACACGGTGTACTAAAATGATCATCCTTTCAATTCTTGGGTGCATTCGACCCTTCCTTGTCCAAAGGTACATACAATATTAATTCCCTAAATGAGCATGAGCACTTTTATTTTCTTGGATTTTATATTATTTTGTTAAGAATAATTTATAATCTAAAAACAATATAATCAGTTTTTTTTTTAAGTTTAGCATCACTGTCATTTTAGATACGTGTCTTATATTAACTTGAATTAAAGTGTTGCTCTATCCCTTCTCTTGTAGATTTCATTGTATGAAGCCTCCTTCCTACAGCAGTTTGTTTGAATAGTTAGACCTGCCTATGTCATTAACTCGAGTGTGAACATCTTCCTTCAAGTTAAATATGTTTATATGCAAAAAGAAGCGGACTATTTAAACTAAAGTCTTTTTTTCCTCTACCCACATACATATCTTTATAAAATATACCCTTAATCAGGATTTGGAACAAAATGATCCTACTTTTATCAATCATTGATTAAATTCAATATACCTGTTAAGAAGTACTAGGAACTATCTTTCTTCGGAGCTAAGCCACCAATCCACCCTCCAAAAATAATTTTCCCGTATTCTGATGATTAAGCATCTCTGATTGAAAGTATTCAATTTAAAAAAATGACTGACTAGGAAAATATATTAGGACAGTGTCGGTCAAAAATAACCCGAAATTTTAATATGACTCATAAAAGCATTATTATTGCTTTAAGATACCACACTTGCTGTGTAATTTTTGTTTAAATTGTTAAAAACAGAAAAATCGGTAGACAATTCAGTTTCTTTCTTCTTTTTCTAACCCCTGTGTAAGACAATGGGTGCAAAATTTCATGATTTGATGACGCAGTCGCCGTAAATATCTAATCTTTCACATAGTTTCGAGGTGTTTGGATAGGGAAGCCGGATCAGTGGCCTAACAATTTAACTGTCGCTGTGTCCTGTGTGATATTTTATTTTTGTAAAACAACGTCATATGTCACGCTTCAAAATACAGAATAGAATTGTAGATATTTAATGTTGTTTCACATGCATACTGCATTACACTACTACGATGCTTTTGTATTATGTTTGTTTCCCCAATCTCTTGAAATAATTTTTTTCAGACATTTTATTAGAGTGCACGAAACAGATGGAACATTATACAAGATCAAAAGTAAAAAAAAACAGTACAAAATAGGAGCAGAGCAAACAGGCTGGCCTCAAAACATTGGAACTGGGACCACATGCCATGGAGGAGTTAGCATTCCCTGCCAAACGGTCACATCCGCCATGTGCACCTTTTCAAGATCAGAAAATAATGGAAAAATCCGTCGTCAGTTCAGTGTATAAATAATGGAATAAAAACTAGTTTGGAAACGTCAGTCAGCATTTGACTCAATGATAAATTGATTTTATTGACAAGGTCATAGTATCGACCGTACAACTTACGAAATGATGACTTTAAACGAGGCAGCTGACATTCTTGTTTCATCAACTTATTTGTCAATTATTTACCTCCTTTCAGAAATTGTTCATTCATGAGCATGCTCTTGCATATTGAATTAACTGATATATCTATAAACTCCTTATGCGGGAGATGAACGTATATTGAGACATTAGTAAGGGAAGTTGACGATAGAAAAGTTAAGTCGTCATATATCTTGGTTGTTAGATTTCCATTAGTGTCTTTTTTAAGTAAAACATCCAAATATGAAACATATATGTGCGACTCTTTTTTTTCAAGCTCACCAGGATAAATCGTATCGACATAAGAATGGAAATAACAATTTACGTCGTCGATATCTCTAAATGTCAAGTTGAAGGCCACGGCAAGGGCTTTCTTATTTTGAAGCATTAGATTTTGCAGATATTCTGCTTCAAATGAGTTTATAAATAACTGTGCCAGTAAAGGAGCGCTATTGATACTCATGGGAATTCTTATAGATTGTTGAATGACCAGGTTTCCATAAATCACATAGATGTTGCCTATTAAAAACTCGAGCATCCCTTTGATTTCAACTTTATAGTAATTGTGAGTACAAACAGAATGTTTTTAACATAATAATTTCGCAAATGACCAATGGCAAGGTAAGTAAATTTATAAATTCCATATGTATTGAAAGAGCTTTCAATGATATCAGAAAACCAGAGCTCTAATTTATTGTTCGGAATAGTTGTGAATTGAATTGAAAAGTCATAAGTTTTAAAGCTGTTAATTTTGTTGAAATGTTGTGATTTCAAATTGTCCAAACGAATTTTGAATTTTTAAGCCCCCATGTTTGATTTTCACCACTTCATGAATATGTTGTTGCACAGTACTCTTGAAGTTTCTTCTTCACTACTGTTAATATCTGAATTTGAAGAAGAAAAAGTCTTTATTGAATTTTGTATGGATTTTTATGAAGGTTCGGAATCCAATATATATATACACATGTATGGTTGTTCAAATTCATCTTATTTCTTTTGAATATTAAAAATATTTAAGACAAACATATGAATTTGAATATTTTTTCCCGAGAAAGGGAACGATAAATATAGGTTTAATTACCACTGGTAGAAATCTAATCCAAGTTTTTTTATTTAATAATTTATATAATGAGCTTTACCAACGAAGAAAGTGTAAATACCTACTTTGTCATCGGGGACTAGTACGTCCTGATCATGTAATCTATCTAATATTTTTTTTTAATCTGGATGTTTGAAACAGAAGGATAGTTGGTTCTCATGTTGCCCTTCAATGTTTTAATACGTGATTTTAACATGTATCTGGTGCATTTTATTCATTCTGTGAAAGTGTAAACGTCTTTTTTTGTATCTGGTCCATCACCTGCTGTAAAATCCACCTGGAGATCAATCATTTTTTTAACCAAGCAAGCTACATACACATTAGTTGAACATAAAGATATTTCAACAAATACATCAGCATTTAGAAGTACGTGGTCGTTATAATGACCATATTAGCAAATATGTCTATCCTTGTATATCCTTACATCTCATGGTTTAGGAAAGAGCCCTGAAAATGTTGGAGTCCGATGATTAATAGAATAAAATAGCCTAAAGTAGTATTCATAGAATAACTTGATTTTTTAAGCCCTTGCATTTAAATTTGATATGATGCATTTCTTTAAATCAAGAGAGTCTCTTGTAGATTATTTCTTCACACGGTGCACTAAAATGATCAATCTTTCAATTCTTGGGTGCATTCGACAATTCCTTTTCCAAAGGTACATACAATGTTAATTCCCTAAATAAGCATGCTAACTTTTATTTTCTTGGATTTTATATTATTTTGTTAAGAATCATTCATAATTTAAAAACAATATTTATCAGTTTTTTTTAAGTTTAGCATCACTGTCATTTTAGATACGTGTCCTATATCAACCTGAATTAAAGTGTTGCTCTTTTCATTCTCTTGTAGATTACATTGTATGAAATATATAACAGACGTCAGTAAAACCAACATATAATTTTGTTTACACTGCAAATAAACCTATTGATGGAAGATTGGTAAATCTCTCTCTCTCTCTCTCTCTCTCTCTCTCTCTCTCTCTCTCTCTCTCTCTAACAAGAAAAACAGCTGCTATTTTTCAAAGAATTGAAACAGGAAATAGATTATAGCAAAGGAAATCGGTTATGTCTATCATTTATCATATCACATTTTACTATTCTGACAAGAAATGTATTTTCTAGGGTACCAACTTTTTTCATTATACTAATCCTTTTCATCATTGTGGTGCATGGAATATTGTTTTTAATCATCATCAGAGCTTGTTGTAAAAAGTATTGTTGCGACAGAGGATTGCAGACAAGGTCCTACCGAAGTAATAGTACATTGTCAGGTATTTAATTCAGTTTCTTAACACTATCATAAACATAAGGAAATAATTTTTCACGATTTTTTTTTATTATTTATGAATGGTATTTGTCAAATGCAATTTATTTTGTAGACTTTTCTATCACGTTTATTTTTCTATTTATATTTTTTTTCGTATTTGATATACTGTAAACAGGGTTATTTTCGCCCCGTTTAATTTTCGCCCTTTCACACTTGCAAACAATTTTGCCCCATTTTAAATTCGCCCAATCATAGTTTCATTAAAGAAATAATACTGTATTATTTCATTTCGCCCCGTTTTAAATTCGCCCAAATGAGGGAAGGGCGAAAGGGGCGAAAATAAAACGGGAGCGAAAATTTCCCGGTATACAGTAATATTTTTCTAATACATGTGCATTAAATTAATTGCTTTTAGTTTTCTCTTAATCATTTATCGTGTGTTCGTTTCAAACTTTTTAAAATGATATTTTATGCATAATTTCATGATCAAATAGATTCTGAAAAGCATACATAGTGTAAGTGTGTTCACATTGAATGAACATTATTTATTCAATATGCATTATGTTGTATAATTTTTCCTCAAGATGACAGAGCATGCAATTTTTGGAAACTTCAATGCCTTTGATTTTTATGAAATTTAGATACTCACTTTCCATGACAATTAATCCCACCTAAAATATTTTAGAAGTTCGCATTTGCCTTTCTTGTTCTGGTTGAATTTAAGCATGCAAAATGTTTCTTCTCTTCACATACAATTCTTCCGGAAGACAGTGTTATATTCTGGAAAAAATGTGGCTCTATAATTTGTTAATGACAGCAAAATGTTCTGATATCATTATTAATGTTATCAAAAAATTAGAGAGGATATGGTTCATATTACATTTACATGTTTTAGATTATTAAAGAGCTAGATCATCCAAATCTAAAAGAATAGTCCCTACATTATCAGATAATAGTTTACATGGCATGTCATTTACAGGGTAATTTAAATTAAAACGAAAATTGGAAAGGCCATTATGAAAGAATATCAAAAGATAATTTTTCTACATTTATACTTTTAATTAGCCAAGCATCCACTAGGCATGCGCAATCAAATATCCATATGTCACGGCCATTGTTAGATGGTATGAATTTTACAGACCATTTGCATCAGAAAAGCTTTATTTTTGGAAGAAGAAATAACTATCAGAGAATTTAATTTATTATATTTTTTTCATATATACATTTGTATTTTAGGATATCATGCATCTAGACATAGAGGGATCCACTTCACGACGCAAACATCGTTAGATACTGCTATGCACAGATCATCATCTACAGAAAATTTTGAACTAAATAGCTTTAGAGAAGAAACCAGAAATGCACCGATATCCCCTCCACATTCTGAAAATACAGAACAGGAGGAATGCCATATTGTAACTGCTGATTTAACTGAATCCTCAAATTTCTTAGGTGATGGTTTTGAAGATTGTCCAAATGTACCCCCTCCTTCATATAACAGTTTGTTTGAATAGATAAACCAGCACATGTTCTGTTATTTAAAAAGTGTGTACATCTTGTTTTAAGTTAGATATGACTTTAATTGTCCATCACAACACAGCAAAATGCAAATATGTTTTTTTTTTTTTAAATGTACATGTTCTGTTATCTAAAAATTTAAAAAGTGTGCACATCTTGTTTTTAAGTCAAGATCTAGTAAATGAAAGGTGCCTACAGGTTTATCAAACTTGAGAAATTAATTCCTTTATTGATGTTTTACAACTTTAGCTTGGTCAAATAAGATTAACATTCAATATATTTCTAAAGTGATAGATCACTCTTGAAAAAGGGACTTATTTAAATTCACTACGGTCCGTTTTTTTTTAACCCGATTCAAATTTCAGTCGAAATTTAGTCGAAAGATCGCCTTACATTGTAGGCAGCAGAGAATAGATATCGTTTGACGTCGTTCGCGATCAAGATTGTTACAAATTGTCTGCGTTTAGCAAACAGTACTGTAACTCTTCTTATTACATGCCGTGACTATTTTCGGTATAAGGGAAAAACTCTCATTGAATATCGTGCCATTTAAAAATAACTTGTAATGTCACTTCTGTACTCTTTTTTCCCGTCTCTGATGCATATAATCCATATCCAACGCTATGGAACGCCGTCACTGCCTTATAACAGAACACAACAGTTGCATTGCGTCAACCTTCCGTTACATTATGTCAACACTTTATGACATTTACTCACACTACTATTGCATTGTGTCAACCTTACATTACATTATGTCAACTCTTTATGACATTAACCCACAATGCTATTGCATTATGTCAACCTTTCATTACATTATGTCAACTCATTATGACATTAACCCACAATGCTATTGCATTATGTCAACCTTCCATTACATTATGTCAACTCTTTATGACATTAACCCACAATGCTATTGCATTATGTCAACCTTTCATTACATTATGTCAACTCTTTATGACAATTACACACACTACTATTGCGTTATGTCAACTTTCAATTACATTATGTTTAGTCTTTATGGCATTAACTCGCACTTTAATTACATTGCGCCAATCTTCCACTGCATTATATCAGCTCTTTATGACATCAAGTCAAAACAATTTTACGTGGTGTAAAAATGTTTTTATATATTTTCAACTCATTATTACATTATGTGCACTCTCTACTATTTGGTCTAAGTAGTTCATTACATGATGTGAATTTATCTTTAACTCAATATGAAGTCGCTATAATACGATGTCAGAATTTCATTACATGATCTGAAAAAATTGTCACATGCGGTCAATTCTTTTACTACTTTATGCCTTCAATATGCTACATGACGACGTGAATCAATTTCATGATGTGAATTTGCCCTTACTTTTTGACAAATCGTTATTACATTATGTCATTGTGTCTTTACAGTGTGTCAAAAATGCTAAGTCTCTTGTCAGCATACATGTATCTTAGGCTATTTCATCTCATATCAGATGTGGAAAGCTCATATCATACTGTGCGCACTCTTCTACATTATGTCGATTCACTATTACGTTATGCGAACACGGGGTATCCTCGGCCTTTATATGAGCATAACGTATTTTCCTCATTCCGAAAGCACTAAAAATGGCGGGAGAGAAAACTGTCATAAAATAAATTCTCAGCGATTAAATGATATAAAAACTTTAAGCGAAAAATGATTAACAACCTTGAAATGTGCAAAGCCTTAACACTGCGACTGTGAATTAAAGTCACGCGTCGAAATTCAATGGCGTTTACTTTTATCTGATAATTAAATCAAATATGAGTCGTGCAGCATTTTTTTTCTTTTGAATTGCTTTTTTTTTTTATAAAAATCTTAAACTTCTGATCTTACTCAGAACACTGTCATAAGTTTTTTTTTATCAGTCTTTAACTCTCTTTTTTTTTAAGTGTAAACACATCGATCGAATAACACACGTGCATTGGCGGCTTGGGGAAGGGGGGGGGGTCAGAAATCCCGCCCTACCATCTTTAGTCACCAAAATATACATAAAATTAATAAATTTATTAGTTTTACATTGTAGAACATTGCATTACTTTCACATTAAGTTTAGCTGAACTATATTGAAAATTTTTTTCTATTAAACTATAAAGCCTGCCGGAGAGTTTTTCTGCTTTCCCCCTTTGGTCACCAACTCTATACCGTCCCCCTTCTTTTTTCAAGATACCCATATGCGCCACAAATATGTGCCCATGCATGCTTATTAAGGCATATTCAACTGATTAAGATGAGGGACTGGTAGATTTTTATAACAAAATTCTGGTCTTGGAATAGTTGAAAAAATTACAGTAACTAATTCCGTGACATAGCATTTATTTGATGTCAGCCAGAAAAAAAAAATTATTTACCCGAAAAAACTTGACAAGCCAAAAAAATTTGTCCAAGCCCGAAAATCCTATTTCGGAGAGGGGGGTCCGACTTTGATTAGTCATATATTTTTTTCAGTTATACTACATTACCCCTAGTGGACTATACTTCAACAATAAGTGGGGGTGGGGGCTGTACTTTCAATGAACATTACATTTCCTAAAATAAGGTTATGTCTGGGAAAAGAGGGGGCTGATATTATGTGTCTATAATTATTCGTCCTACTCAATCGCCCCCCCCCCCCCCCCTTACCAGTCATTAAAATACAGTCGTCAACATTCATTATTATACTAGATATACAACTTTCAGATAATGTAAATGTATTTTCACATCAGGTAATGAACTTTTGGAATCAACATGATAAAGAAATAACACAATATAAAGATATTTTTTAAATCACATAAGAGTTGACATAAAGTAATTATACATCCACATCACGGAATGGAGTTTTGACATAATGTAATAAAGTGTTGATATAATATAAAGAAATGTTCACATTATGTTATACACTTTTTATACCACGTAATAAAGCACTGACATAAAGGTAAGATGTGTTCTCCTCACATGATGATGCTCTCGCCGTAATATAAAGATAAATCCATATCACGTAATAATGCTTTGACATAATAGACATATACACTCTCAAAAAGGAATGGACTTTTGACTTCATGTAATGATAAGTTTAATTATAAAACACAATTTACTTGACGTGATGCAATTTTGACCTCAAATATTAAAGAAATGAAATAATATAAAGAAACATTCATTTCACGTAATAAAGTTTTAACACAATGTAAACATATTTTCACTTCACATAATGAACTTCCGACTTCAAGTTATAAAGTGCTGACATAATGGAAGAATGTGTTTACTTCATGTAATGCAGCATTGACATGATGTAAAGATATTTTTACATCACCCCATAAAAAACTGACATAACGTAAAGATATGTTCACATCACGTTATGATAGATTGACATAATGAATGCATAGTTTTATGCTATAAGGCAGTGATGGCGTTCCATACAACGCAATTTAGTACATCTCCGTGCGCCGGTTACGCGTTTGACGACGTCATTTTCAACAAACTCAATTCCAACGATACTTTTAAAATCATGAAACCAATTGTCTGTTTCTAAAACAATTCATACGAAATTTTGATATATTATCAAGATTTTGATTCTGGTGTCAGTGATTTAAATTTGAGTTCAATGTTTTACATCGTACTAAAGAAATAAAAGCAAATGCATTAGTTATATGCGTTAATTATTTCGAATTTTGTTCGTGCGCTGACAGGCCTTATCGGCTTTCATATAAATCGTCCTAATATTATTAATACAAAAGATATATTTCTAAAATTTCCCAATTTCAAAGAACATTGAATATATTATGTCTATGCAAGATTTGGTTAGTATTAGTTGCGAGGTTAAAAAGTTATAAACATTGTCTACGACTTTTTGGGACAACCCTCGTTCATCAATGAATTTTAACAGAATTAGTTAGTAATGCTGACTTACATTTTTTCATACTAATTGGTAGGCCATAATTTTCACACTGAATTGACGACGGATTTTTCCATTATTTCCCGACCATGAGAAGGAGCACAAAACTGGTGTGACCGGTCGGCTGGGGTTGCTCAATCCTCCATGGTACCTGATCCCACCTCTTATATTTTACAGGTCCATGTTTGCTCTGCTCCTATTTTGTATTCTTAAACGAGTGAGCTTAAAACTCTCGTTATCTATATTTCATTAGTATCATCATTTCTTTCTACAAAATAAACCATAAGTTTTATTTTTTTTTAATAAATTGTTAATAACACCAGATCCCCTGACATAAGGCCATGAAATTCACAATTTTGGAATAAGCATCTTTCTTCAGGTTAACAATGTACATGGTTCATTGATTTGATATCAAGGAGCAGAGGAGAAGATGTTTAAAGGATTAATGCACTTTCACTGTATAATCATTAGAGCCCAGCCCTATCACCAGAGCCTCTGATCCAGGGCCCATGAAATTCACAATTTTGGAAGAAGCATTCTTCTTCATCATAGCTATGTACATAGTTAATTGTTTAAGAACCCAGGAGCAGAGTAGAACATTTTTAAAATTATGATGCATTTTCTGTATATGATTAATATAGCCCGCCCTAACACCAGAACCCAGGAGCTATGAAATTCACAATTTTGGAAGAGGCATCCTTCTTTCATAAGAATGTGCATAGTTCAACGGCTTTTAAAATATCTAGGATCCAAGCCCTATCACAGGAACCCCCTGATCCAAAATTCAAAATTTTGAAAAAGACAACCCTTCTCATCAACAATTTGCATTTAGTTGTTTGCAAAATACCAAGGAGCATAGGAGGTTTCAAAGAATTAATACATTTTCACAATATAATCAAAAGAGTCTTACCCTTACACCAGACCCTCTTACCCTGGGGACTTGAATTAGACAATGTTAGTAGAGGGCACAACGCTAATCACAGCCATCCTACCAGTTTCACTGCTTGATGTTCAGTAGTAAAGGAGAAGGTTTTTTTTTTTAAAATGCATTAATTTAAGTGGATTTTGCCTCATCCCTTAGACGCCCTAGGGGAGGGGTGCAGAGGTCATGAAATTCATAACTTTTGTTCCTCTTCACCCATTTATGCAACATACCAAAATTGGTTGAAATTTGATCAATGGTTTCAGAAAAGAAATTTAAAATGTTCAAATG